GTGATCGGGCATGGGTCTCGTAGAGGTCGACCCGGCCAAACCCGAGCCAATTGCCGGCTTGAGTTGTGTTCATGCTGAAGATGTTTTTGATGTTGCAAACTTATTTAAAAGAAATGTTTCAAGTAGAGAGACGGGTTTCTCCTCTAAAGATTGGACGGCTCGGGATCACGTTAATCCAAAAATAATAATTCGCAACTTGTCCAAAGTAAGTGGGTAATGGACTCCTTATAAAAAATCCTAAAGAAATGAAACCTTGGCAGCCGACCGCGACGTGTCACTGTCAGCGGGCCAATTACGTGGCCGCTTCGACGAGGGCCCCACCGGTCATCAAGACCAAACCGGCTTAACCCAACCGCAGTCCATTGACCTCCCCGGCCACCGCACTGGTGCACACCCCACCCTCGCAATCCCGTCCTTCCAAACCGCTTTCCCCCGAACGCCGGGCGGCTGAACGCGTCCCCATCCCTTCATGGACGCCGCGAGCCGCACCTGGCCGCCGCCCAACCCCTCGCCGGCGCCCTTCTCCTCCCGGCTGCGCGTGTCCTCCGACCCCCAACGCCGGCGCCGGCGCCGCCACTCCAAGAAGCCCAAGCCGGAGCCGCCGGCTCCCCCGCCCAAGAACGCCCCCGTCTGCTCCGGCGCGGACTTCGAGTCCCTCCCGCCGGAGCTCCTCCACCGGGCGCTGTCCGCGGTCGGCGCCGCCGACGTCTCAGCCGCCAGCCGTGCGTGCCGCTCGTGGCGAGACGCGCTGCAGCCGCTCCGCGAGGCGGCGGCGCTGCACGCGCACGGGCGCCGCCTCAAGCACGGCTCAGCCGTTCCCGCCGGACTCGACGGTGAGGGGCGCAAGGCGGCGAGACAGAGCGCGCTGGGTCTTTTCAAGCGGGCGGCGAGGCTGGGGTCCGCGGCTGCGATGGTGGACGCCGGGCTGATGTGCTGGGAAGAGGGGCAACGGGAGGAGGCGGTGGGGTACTACCAGGCGGCGTCGGAGCTGGGACACCCTGTCGGCATGTGCAATCTCGGAGTGTCCTACCTCGAAGGTATCTTAGATTTGGCCTATATTTCCTTTCTTGGAGGGTTGTTCGAGCGGGTAGCAAAATGGTTAGTACAATCTTATTAGGACGAATTTGTCTGGTCCCATACTATCCTAGATTGGCAGGCGTGATTAGATTTGTTTACCGCGCAGTCTGAGACGATCTTTTATAGGGGGAATTATTGATTGTTCTGGCTCTGGCGTTTGCTTCTGCTGGGTCTTTTAGGTAAACTCTGGGGCTCTGCTCCAGGTTGATCATAAACTCCATAGTAATGACGTGATCAACGCAATGAATGGCGGTGGCAATTTCTCAGGACCGGCGGCTGCAATCTTTGATAACTGCTACCATATGTCTCGGGATCTTATTCAGGTCCATTTCGAGCACTGTCATAGGGAAGGAAATGCCGTGGCGCATGAGTTGGCTAGAATGGCTAGGTTTTCTTCTCTTAGTACTTGGTTTGATGATGCCCCTAGTGCCTATTACTCCCTCCGTTTCTAAATATTTGTCTTTTTAGAGATTTCAAATGTCCACATACGGATGTATATAGACATATTTTAAAGTGTAGATTCACTCATTTTGCTCCGTATGTAGTCATTTGTTGAAATCTCTAGAAAGACAAATATTTAGGAACGGAGGGAGTATTACCCATTTGCTTGTATTTGATGCTACTGTGATCACTAGTTAATAAAAGGAGTTTGAGTGTTAAAAAGAACTCTGGGGTTCTGCTGGCCTTTTAAGTAAAGTCTCGGGTTCTTTCAGTCTGATTATAACCTCTAAAGAGTGATAAATACCTAACTCGCAGAGGAGATACCTTTTATGTATTTTACCAACTTGTTTTTAATCAAACTCTTCATCTCGGAGCATTAGAAATTCAGAACTGACAATGTTGCCAAATCTCTTTACACTACAGCTGATCCACCCCAGGCCGAGGAAGCTGTTAGATGGTTTTATCCAGCTGCATCCGCAGGCAATGTTCGTGCCCAGTACAACCTAGCCCTCTGCTTGCAGAATGGAAAAGGAATCAAGCGTAATCAACGGGAAGCTGTAAGATACCAGCTCTGTGTTACACAGCTGTGATTTTCAAAAAAAATTCCCAAATCAAAGTAATTCGTTACTCCTGATGCTTACAAGTGGAACCAGTTTCATTGTTTTGATATCTAGTTTCTGTGGGATTTATTGGTAGCGCATCTTATGTGAACTAATTCTGCATTAGACAGTGTCTAGGTGTTCTTATTTTAGCTCAATGGGGATTTTGAGCTGATTTGTTGCTTTCATGCTTTGAGTTGTTGAATTTCGCTTAGAGAACGGATTCATTGATCTTGACACCCTACCAAGGTTTTCAGGATTATATCACCCGGATCCATCATAATACATGAACTGGTCGATACAAGATTACCGTCTGTAGCAATTGTGTTAAGGTTCTTACCTTTACATTTCAAACTGACAGAAACTTGTAAATGCAGGCAAAGTGGTACTTACGAGCTGCAGAAGGAGGGAATGTACGAGCCATGTATAATGTTTCCTTGTGTTACGGCTTTGGTGAAGGGTTTACACAGGATCCAGTGCGTGCAAAGAAGTGGCTGCAACTAGCTGCTGATTGTGGTCACAGAAAGGCTCTTTATGAGTCTGGTATTAAACTCTGTGCGGTATGTCATCCTTTTTCCTTTTATTCCTGGGGAATGCATGTATTTTCATTTTGGAATGGTTTTCTTGTGAAGAAATGATGTGTTCATTGTATGTACTTATTTTTTCCTACCATCCTGCATTGTGTGCCACTACATCTAATCATCTATCAATGCATAATCGTTGCCCACGGTGTGATGCTTCGTTGTTTTAGTTTAGAAGTCCTCAGGCTGCATACAATTGTAGGGGCAAGGAGCAGCTGACTTTCTGCCTAGGACCTACACCAAACCACACCATTTTGATGTTGGTTTAGTTTGGCATAGATATATTCTCACAAAAGAGACCTAGGTAGACAGAAACGAAAGCAGCAGTATATAATATCTTTGTCAAGATGGTTGGATTAGGGAAAATTGAGAACAAGCAACCATGGTACAGTGTCTGCACTGGTAGTGAAAGTCAGCATCGTATACAAGCTGGGCCATTGACACACATAATATTTGTGATATGCCAATCATTCTTATCTTTATTTCTTTCTCTGAAAAGAAAGGTCAGATGCACTGTCTGTAACATTTTAATGACTGATTCTCAAGTGTTTGAAGTCATGCATTACCTGTTGTGTCTTCTTGTTACATCCTTCTAATGATGATGCCTATGCTGTTTAGGCAGGAGACAAGGTCAGGTCTCTTATGTATCTAGAGCTGGCAACACGCCATGGAGAAAGTGCCGCCTCGCATATGAGAGATGTAATACTCGAATCACTCTCTCCTGCGATTGCCCAACGTGCTCTTTCAGATGCTGATAGATGGCGACCAAAATCTCTCTCTGCCAGAAGATGAGCAGATGGTTCCTTCCAAATACTAGCAACCCCTTTATAGAGCTGGTCATTGACTACATCATTTCCAAGGCAGGCGCTTCCCAAAGGACATCTACATTAAAATCATCTTCATGTCCTTCTCCTTGGTTTGCTCGCAAAACCTACCATTGCAGTTGTGACGGGGAAGTTGGTCAAATGGCAATGAAGGATATCGAAGCAGCAGAATGCTGGATAAAACTGTATAGTACAGCTTAAAAATGGTTTGGTTCAGGTGACCTGTAGACTGAACCATTGCATCTTGGTGATCAGTAGAAACAATTGGGCGCTACTCCCTCTATAAAGAAATATAAGAGTGTTTAGATCACTACTTTAGTGATTTAAACACTTTTTTATGGAGAGAGTACTACTCTTTAGTCACCAAATGGTATAGTACCGTACCAGTCGAAAGAAACGATGCAAACTAGAATTGCATCGCATCTTTGTTTTGGTGATTGAAGAAATGTTGAAGATATATAATATGCTTTCAAATGTGCTCATGTCTTGTCAGTAGAACCGCCGTGATGAAATGTTGGAGAAGCGTGCCAGTGTTGATGCCATAATGGCCGTACCGGAAAGGGAATTTATGGCTCTCAGGCCTATGCACCCTATATGCGCTAAATTTCGTAATTGCAAGAAGTAAAAAGAATGAAACTTTTTTGGAAACAAGTGTTGTACTTGTATACAAAGTTTCGCCAAGGAATGACTTCAATGTATTCCGGGCAGAAAAAAAAATCGAATGCTATGTACTCCCTCCGTCCGGAAATACATGTCATTGAAATAGATGCATCTAGATATATTTTAGTTCTAGATACATCCATTTTCATCTATTTTGATGACAAGTATTTCCGGACGGAGGGAGTAGTTCATGCTATTTGTCCTCGTTTTTTCCCCCTGAAGTCAACACAAGTTATTTCTTGGCGAAACTTTTTACACGAGTACAATACTTGAGCATATTTGTTTCCAGAAAAGATTTGACTCTTGTGTAATTACCAAATTATTTTGTGCATATAGGATGCACTGTCACCAGGGTATTTCCCGTGTACAATTGTGCTTACGTTAGCAATGCCACCTAGTTGCGTCAGTTGACTCGCGGTAAATCTGACTGAACATTGTGCTTGCAACTTGTACAGCCTAGTTCCGTTGCCTATATACAGTTGCACTTCACTATAGACTTACCTTTGCGGCGTTCCCTTTGAAGTATGAACATTGATCAGAAATTCAGAAGTCTGCGAGAAGATGTGAAACTAGTTTACGCCAGTCCAGTAAAAAATGATTGATAACATGATAATCATTGGCCCCAAAAGAAGGCATGGCAACACACATTTATTTATGCAGGCATTATGCCAGTCCAGAGATTATTAGATGCTACTTGTGCAGCTCAACATTCACAATCAATCAGTGCAGCAAACAAACATATTATTACAGAAAACGAAACAGACCACGAGATAACAACTTTTATTGCCAGTTTCTTCTTTTGAGGAGAGCTGCCAAGCTTAGAGCTTGGAAACAAGGGCCCCGTTCTGGATGGCCTTAGGCGACTCTGCTTCCTTGACATCGGCGGCATCAGAAGTGCCAGGAGGCACATCAACAGCAGGCGAGCAGTTGAAGAATCCATGTGGCTGCAAGAGAAAACAAGCGCACTTTCAGCTGAGATCGCGAAGTAATGACAGAAGGCTACGATATCCTCTCTGGAATCAAAACTAAGTATACTATAGAAGGAGGATTTTGAAAGGCTCAGACTGTGGTACCATGAGCATGAAGCCGATGTGTTCCACCGGCATGACCGGCCAATCTTCCAGCCTTGGGATGTGGGTGAGCCCAAATACATACCTATAGATGCAGAATTTCAGTTGTAACGATCATGAACTACAAACTGAAGAAACAATGCTGGATATCAGCGTGCAAGGCAAATGTGTACCAGAGAACGATGTCAGTTTCCTCCAAGGGTCTATCCTTCTTCACCCAAGTAGCTAAACCCTCGTGAAGACGTGGATTCTGGTTGGGGAACTCCCCTCCAGGAAACTTCTCATCACTCTTGTATGGTGTCACCCAAAGATTGTGCTTTAGGAACCCGGCTCTTCGAAGAAACTTTGCCTCGGGCAGAGCAAATGGCAAACAGTTTGAACCAGGCACGAGTCTGAAACCAGTTGGTTGTCCGGTACGATTTACAGCCCTCGTGTTCCTAACCTGATCAAATGCAAACAAGAAACATGGAAGGAAAAGCAGTATGATCAGCTGCCCCAAGGCTCCCAAACAAATAATAAAGTGCTTTGCTGAGAGGTGTGAACATGGTGCTGATAACATTTGACATGCTTCTTGTGCAACTGGTATGTCGTTACTGACATGACACTAAAGAAAATCAGGAGATATGCAGCTGCTTGATGACAGAAAATTCTGAAGCAACGCTTGCAGTTATGCACAATGTGATATGATCTGTTATCATGGATGATTATAATTTGATGTGTTGCCATGAATAATCGACAATGACATGATAAAAAGAAGAGAACAAACAAGCATGTTCTCCCTCCGTCCTAAAATAAGTGTCTTGAACTTAGTACAAATTTGTACTAGAGCTAGTACAAAGTTGAGATACTTATTTTGAGACGGAGGGAGTACTACGTATGTGCTCTTACAATCCAATGTCGCGCAGATGAAGGGTCACAATCTCTCATTGCTTGCAACTCGGATTTCAGTATCTTTTCTTCAGCATAGAAAGCATTGTTGTGCACATTATTTGTGCCTGCACTTTCGACTTTGACATTTACTTCAACCACCTGGGATAGAAACAAGCGCGTCAAATGCACTATGCAAATATTTAAGGGTGCATTGTACAGAAGGAATACAAAGTTATTCTACAAGGCTAGTATAGTCAAAAGGCATGAAGCTAGCAATCAACTTCCATTTAGTACATGCATGCAGTGGTCCATTTCTTGAACTAGTTTCTCATGGCATTTTGATAATAAGAAAAAGCATAAAAAGGGACCCACCTGATTATGAGCTTCGTTAGGTTTGCAATCAATAGCCATGTCCATACGGGCAACAAAGAAATGCTGGTGGACAGGTGCATACAGACTAGGAGCAATAGTTGTACCATATTTCCTTGATTCCCCAGGCATCAGAGCTCCCAAACTCAGAATTCCAGTAAGTTTTACTTCAGCTTCTATCTTACCATCCTATAACCAAGGAAAAAACTAATAGTTACATTACAATAACTAAATCATACTCCCTCCGTTCCCAAATATTTGTCTTTCTAGAGATTTCAACAAGTGACTACATACGGAGCAAAATGAGTGAATCTACACTTTCAAATAAGTCTACATACATCTGTATGTTGTGTTCATTTAAAATGCCTAGAAAGACAAATATTTGGGAACGGAGGGAGTAGAACATAGATGCATCATACCATTCAATAGAAGAGCTGGATTCAAAATATGCATTTACTAAATCTCAAATAGTCTATTCGAATAGTACCTGATAAAAGTGCCAGTAAAAACCATATTCATAGTTGGCAACTGTGCAGATAAATGACACCGTGAGCCTCCTTGATCGCCTAACTTCTGCTAAACCAGTTCTCCAGTCTTGGTGTTTCCAAAGGATTCCATGGTCCTCCTCGTGCAGACACACACAGTTCTCAATTGTCTCCACATGACCGGTAAAGTTCGTGAAGTGTGCATCAAAATACTTGATGTAACCCAAGCAGTCACACCCCTATACACGCAAAAAAGATAGATAATATAGTCAGATGAAACTCAAACTGATAAAATAGAAAAAAACGCCTAGAACTGAGCAAATGACCTTCTTAAGAGAATGAGCATTTTTGCCAAGTCCATCTTCTCCAGCATCAAAAGCATTCTTGCGATAATGTGGTTCACTTGGATCTCCATAAGGAACAACCATCTCAACAAAGCTCAGCCTATGAGCTATAGGTCTACGCCCACGGCTACCATCAACATATGCAACAGAATAGATGACCAAACCCTCTTTAGGGGTGAAGCCAATACGGAAATTCCACTGCTCAACACCATTAAAAGTGTTATTAACTCTAGGTGACAAGTTTTTTAATACTGGAATGATAGGTTAAACATTAAGCAACCATGTACCTTCTGCCATTCCACAAAATAGCCATTAATACGGAAGCTTGGGCCCTCAGGCTGATTGATAATAAGAGGTTTCACATCACTTCGATCAACACCACCTCTAGTTTCTCCAGGAGTGTAGTTTCTCAAATGATCTGGTGGAGGCAGAGGAACAAACTTCCTGTCTTCAAACTCTATGACAATATTATTCTGCATATCAACAACAACATGGATCCCTTCCACAGGACGAGCATAACCATTCTCCATGGGACTATCACTCTCAGTTCGGCAAAAGATTAGAGGCCTGGCAAGTCTGCGACTGGGAGCATCAGCATCACTGTAGTAGCCAGCACACCTGACGGTTTATGTGCGAAGTTCAAATCAAATAACATGATGATGAAAGCTGAAAGATAACCCACAATGGAGAATGCGATGGAATAAAATTTCGGCACCTAGCTTACCAGGCATCTACCATGACAAGTTCCATGTCGTCCACACCTCTTTTCTTCATAGCTTCAACAAATGGAGGATAATTTTTGACAGTAGCTTCACACTCAGCATATTCCATAGCATCCTGTGATATATAATAATTAAAAAATCATAAGAAAATATTTCAAACTAAATGCTGCATAAAGGTTCAAAAGAATGTCAAAAGAGACTGTTCTGGCAGATGCGTAGGCGCAAATATTGGAGAACTAAAGAACTGTTATCTGGCAGCAACCATTAGTGGTATAATGGTTGCATATCATTGTATACTAGTATATGGAGTAACTGGTTCACAGATTAACAATTGGAATTTCAGACAATGAAACTTAAACAAATTAAGTAGGCTTACCATTGCAGGCTGTACATCTGGAACAACTTCAGATGATATCACCTTCCCTCTGTGATGTCCACCTCTAGTAGCTGCATGCACTTCAGATAGTTCTACTATCCAAATGGTAGTCTCATTTGAATGTCTATTGTAGACAACAAGCTTGGCCCTCCTGGGAGGCAACCTGCTCGGAATGACGGCAGAGCCTTTGGTTCTAGGGAGCAGTGATGGTTGGAATGGCGGGAAAAAATAGGCATCGGCTAATGCTACAACATTCTTTTCTGGTTCCAGCAGCACAGCTTCAACAAAACGCATGCTGTCACGTTCCTATAATTTTAGAATGCTGCTTGTCAAATCATTTTTCAAGGTTGTACAGGGAGAACTGGATAGGTATCAGAAAGATTCTTGTTGACAAACCTCAGGAGATTTTCCAGCGGCTCTTACAGTTGCAACAGCCACTGCAATTTCGGCAGCAGATAATGGGTCCAAAGGGTGGAATCTTTGAGCTCTCGTCATTATGGGTATCCCTGCATTGTTTTTCACCCAGCAGAACATTAGGAATGGAATGAATAGTATGATATAGTTCAGCTAAGACATGGCATACATTTCAAACTACTATAATAGTTGATCCCTAGTGGACTCACTCAAATAACTTCCAACAAATTTTAACACATAAGGCACATACACCAATCATAGAGCAACGGATATACATGGCTCTTCAATGACATAGGTCAAGCATTCATAATAGAAAATTTGGCAGGTCAAGAGCACCATGCTCCATGTGCATATCAGGATGGCAAAAGGGGCACTTGATAGAGAAATGGCTGTTGTTGACCTCTCTCCTATAAGCAACTAAAAAACTGCACTGACATGGAGCATACTGTATGAATGCAAGTCTTATAATATTGTTCCATCCACTAACGTTCCATCTTGTAGGTTCTTAGTTAGAAAAAAATAATATAAACATAGATATGAAAATACACATCATTTTTACCAACAACGATTGTGTAGACTAAATCAGAAAACAGTGTTATCTAATTAGACAAAGCACATAATAATAGCATCAATTATGTACAGTCCTCTCACTAGATAATACAAAAATTAATGGTTGACAGCTGAAACGTAGACATTTCAAATATCAGGTTAAATTATGTCCGTTTCCAAAAAAAAAACCGTGAAGATATCTGTTCAGACAAAATGAAACAGGGTGCTTGTCAATTTCCTACACCGAAGAGATGGGCTACCAAGGTTAAATTATGTCCGTTTCCAAATGTTTTTTTCCGTGAAGATATCTGTTCAGACAAAATGAAACAGGGTGCTTGTCTTGTCAATTTCCTAAATGGAAGAGATGGGCAAGAATGATTTGTTTGATATTTAATGATCATTTTGGTTTATATTACATATTCAAATCCTGTCAGACACCACAAAAAACTACAAATCTTTGGGAGTAAGATGAACTTGAAAGACCAGCTAGAATGGGTCTCATCAGACAACTATCGAGCCTTCAACGTGTGCACACTGCAAAACGATGCAGTTGGACGGTGCAGATAAACCATGTCCCTACATGGGAGCTTAGCCGTAACTTTACCCACAAACACTGCTTTAAGAATGTCCATTGCCAACCAAGCCCGACAGATTATTGTGCATGATTAGCAGCCCCCCACAAACACTACTACAATGAGATAATATGTTCACAGGCCACTCTGCGGGCCAGGCAGATCAGATTGCCTGATCAGCTTGTCCATGGTGCCTAGAGGCGCATCCAGAAAGTGTGAATGCCAAAGTAAAAAAAACTGTGTTGGCCCCATCACTCAAATAATCAAGAAGCTTTTTGGTCCATCTATTGTCAACTAACAAGTAACATCATTATATATATATATATCCCTCACACTTTCCCAGCTTTCCCTATACGAAACCTCAGCATCAACCAAAAAGTGAGAGGAAAACAAAATGATCACTGCTACTAGTGATCAGAGAAAAAGTTCAAGCCCCAACAACTATCAACTATCGAGCACAAAAGCCAGAACAGTGAACAACAAAATAAAAACTAGAAATGTTTGTGACAGCACAGCCCACAGTAGGCAGGCAACAGCACGTCATGCCCCAACTATTCAATTATCACGTTACCTAAATAAGATACTGTAAACCACAAAAAAAATGTTGATATGGTCGATTAGTGTCACTAAAAGATCTAATAGGATGATGCTGATGAACAATGCCCCTGCTACAAAACAATGCATGGCGATCTGCATACCCCGATTGCATACAAACCAGAACTATGTGAATAATTGTATAAATCGCATTTTGGTTTTAGTTCCTGCATCTCGAATCTGGTCCTAGAACAATAATTGGCTGATCCTTCTTCATCTTTGCGCTTGCATGCAAACGGGAAGTGGAGAGCTGCGCACTCTATACAGATCCCACCACTACTGGGTTGCATTCCCACAGTCGCATATGACCCCACGAGAAATCGTGATCGACACAAACACCGTCACGTGCCTTACCCAGCTTTCGCCATCCATGCGCCGCACGGCACCCATTTCCCATGACCCGATCAACTGCGCCCGCTCACACAGATCAATCATACACCCTCGTCCCTCGCAAATCAGTCGCATGATCCAACCCGATCGATAGAGAGTGAGAGGCGGAGAGAGAGAGAGAGAGGGAAAAAGGGAGGTGGCGATCCCCGAGTTTTCCGTATATACCTTTAGAGGAGGCCTTGGCGGTAGTGGGCTGGGCCGCGGACGCGATGTCGTCCATCACGGCGCCGCCCCCGGCAGCGGAGACGACGCGCTCACCGCCACCGCCGGCCGCGGACATGGAGACCTTCCCGGGCGCGGCGATCGCCGCCCTGGGGGCATCGCGCGCGGGGCCCCCGCAGCAGAGCGCCGCCTTTTCCTGAGCTGAGGCCATTGGAGCGGGTTCGCGAGCTGACCGTGTCCGTAGTCTCCTCCGCCGTCTCCGCCTCGCCGGATCCCACGATCTGACATACAGCACAGGCCTCCGCCTCCCCGCGCCTTCGTCCTCCCCCCGCTCCCACTCTCACTCCCCCGCGTCAGGACCTCCGCGTCTAGGGGTTCTACGGGATCGGGCCAGGGTTTCGGGCACCCGTCCTCTCCGCGAGAGAGCCGAGGATCGTGCTAGCTCACACCGGAGTGGTGGTGGTGGCGGTGGCGGTGGGGAGAGGAGCGGAGCGGAGAGAGGTTTGGGGCGTGGGCGTCGGATGTTCTGTAGAGCGAGGCGACGGGGGAATCACGTGCATTTATAAAAGGCGAGGGGAAAGGTGACCGGGCGTGCGATCTGGGTGGGTGGGCTGGCCTGGATTCAGGATACTTCCGGCTCATTCGCTCGGCTAGATGCACACGCAACCGTACCCTGACCGTGACTTCGGCCATGGCCGTTAGGGGAAATTTTTTGTTGAAATGTTTATCACTCCACAAAAAGCACTCTCTATGTTTATTCCCTCCGTCCTAAATTACTTGTTACAGAAATTGATAAAAATAAATGTATTTAGAACTAAAATACATCTAGGTACATTCATTTCCGCGATAAATAATTTCGGATGAACAGAGTATAAGTCTTTTTAGAGATTTCAATGCGGACAACATACGAAGCAAAATAAGTGAATCAAAACTCTAAAATTTTTGTATATACATTTGTATATAGCTTGTATTAAAGAGACTCCAATAAGACGACATACAAAGTAAAATGGAGGAATCTAAACTCTAAAATGTGTCTATATACATCCCTATATAGTTCATATTGAAATCTTTAAAATGTCTTATAATTAGAAAAGGAGGGAGTATAAAAGTATAGCAAGAATAAAAAAAATGTACACAGTGAGAGTATTGCTATTTCGTTTTATATTTTGAGAAAATCACCTAGGAGACTTGTTTTTTGCTAAGTCCACCCACCTGGTGCCCCAAATTCATGCTTAACAGTGGGTTGGCCCAAGCTTTTGGCTTGACATATTCCTATATGGTTATACATTGATTAGAGCATTAATTATGATTAGACCTTTCCCAACGGCTGCAAAGAATCACAAATTAGGTAATTGTGTCCATTTAAAGTCGAATTTTATTTCGGTCTTCTGTATTCCAGAATAACTCACTGTTAATGCACGCAAAAAAACTCCACTACAGCTAAGATGGTGGATGCAAGTAATGTTTGGTGGATGGTGATGGTGTGGTGGGAGTATAAGATGGTCTAACTTTTTTAGACATGTTTTAGTGTATTTGTTCATCCATTTTATCCGTATAACATCCATATTAAAATGTCAAAATATCTTACATCATGAAAGGAGGGAGTATTCCACTATCAACTGTAGCTTGCAGACTGGCCAAACAAAAACTTCACTCATCGATATCCATGCAGTTAAGCTTTTTTTATACTGGTAGTGCATGTACTAAAGTGTGTGCATTGCGTGGGGCGTACACCATCAGTTAAGTTCATGGTCACGATTTCACCAAGAAATCGTGTGGACATGACATGAGGGCAATAGGGATTATTCGATTAATTTAGGCGAATGATTGACACTGGTACTTAGCAGCTGGTTTGTTTTGTGCGTATATTTTTCCTGCAATAAAAAGGGCAACTTGTACTGCTGATATTCTTGGGGCAGGAAAGCACTTTTGTCTCTCCTGATTGGCATGTACCGAGAGAGGAATATCTCAGCATGGCAAAGCAGGGCGGGCAGTACTGCGTGCATGCGTGTACTACTTAAAGGTGGGCGAATCTTTTCTATCGCGCTTGATGGATGATTACAGTACAAAAGTTAATTGATGGTACTGTAGCACGTAAGTAGTACTACGTGTGAGGACGTGTGAGTACGTGAGCCGTGAGAGTGAGAGCACCGATGGAGCACGCATGCCCCGTGACAAGGATCGATCGATCGATCGGGAGCTGACGGCCGACTTATCATCATTCATCCTTGTGCTCAACGAACGTAGCGTGCGTGGAATCCCGTTGCACGTACTCAATAATAGCCATTGTTGGTGCTCCTACTCGCAACCAACGCCGTGATAAAGTTGAGTTTCTAGGGATTAATTAACTTGGGTTATTGTGCTAGCTAGAGCAAAAACTCAATTTGTCATTAGCCTTTTGTACGGTGCTGCCTAACTTGAAGATTCTGCAATGCTTGATATGGCCTGGACCGGCTATATATCTCGATGATTGCCTCATAGGATCCAAGGAAGCAATTGTATTTATCATTCAAAAAAAAAGGTTTAATTATTACTTATAGTGTGCACCGGGCCTACCACGTAATTCTTTTGACTTGTCAAACACATGATGCTTTATGACACCCACCTTTGAAAGGGTTGCTCACTTTTACTTGGCTCGAACACATGGGAGACATGGATGCCAAACGGAACTTAATGTGTTGCCACTTTTTTTTTTGAAAAGTGGGTTTACCCCAGCCTCTGTATCAGAAAGATGCATACGGCTCATATTATTAAAAATAAAATCCAGTAACAAAGTCTCCAAGTATCGAGGTGCGAAAAAAAAGTAAAAGTTCAAAAAAGCTGAAATCCTAAGCCACAACCGGCTGGCAAACACAATAGGAGCACTACATGCCTATTCTATTACATGACCGCCATCCAAACCGGTTGAAAATATCCCGCGCTACCATCTCCCATCGGGTAGACGCAGTAACCAAACGCTCCATGGCCTCCGTCGGAGTGAATAGCGACCACATACGGATGAATGCCGTAGCCCTGAAGATAACCTGCAAAAAGTGAATGTTTGTTGATCCGTTAAATACTAAATCATTTCTGCAGCGCACACGATGCATGCACGCAGGCCTGCATCGTCTATCTCGAAGTACTCAGGGATTCCACTATAAATTACATACATATGTATATAGATAAATTTTAAATGCGGATTCATTCATTTTGCTTCGTATGTAGTCTATCGAGTGGAATTTCTACAAAGATTTACATTTAGAAACGGAGGGAGTATAAGTCTTTGTAGAGATTTCATTATGGACCACATGCAGATGTATGTAGATGCATTTTAGAGTGTAGATTCACTCATTTTGCTCCATATATAGTCCATAGTGAAATCTTTGGAAAGACTTGTATTTAGGAACGGAGGGAGGACTTGATAGTATTCTCCTATGACAACAAGTTCCATTTTTGGCATCGATGTTTTAACCAGACACTGTAGCCCATAGATTGGGGGTAAAAATAGGATGACAGACTTGTGGAAATCAGTTTTTTTTTTCCTGTGGAAATCAGATAGGCAGGGGTCTCAAAGGGTTTGGCTTGTGACGAAGGCGTCCGTCGATGTTTGTTGGGGTAAGATAAGAGGGGCTCGTGATAGGATAGGAGTATGCGGGTATGCATGATATGATAGGAACACGCACTATTCAGTCATGTCACCGGCTGGCTGGCTGTTGCCCACTCGCCCCGCAGCTCATCAGGACAGTGCACTAGATCTTTGTTTATAGTTCAACGCACCGAGCAATATAGCCTTGAATTTCTTCACAAATTGTCAAAGCGGGTCACTCTCGAGTCATACTCTACTTTTGTGTTAATATTTGCTGTAATGTTTATTCTAGAAGTACAGTAGTTTATTTAATACCACGGGTCCCGCTGGATTATTCCATCGCGGGACGGCTCCCCGTCATCCTGTGCCCCATGCCTGCATTATCGCTGACAGGCCACGTCCGCAGGGCCCAGGCCTGGAAAAAGCGGCGACTCTCAATTGGTGGCGCTTTCAGCAGCATCAGTCGCATTGTCCATGACACAGTGGGCCTACATACGTTGGGGTGTGCTGTCAGTGGAGGCGATTTGTATTCTTATGTGTATAAAAAAAACATGAAACACGCATGGATAGTACAGGCTGCTTTGATCGATCAAAGTGTGATCAGTGGAGGCTGGTGACCAGTCGGGCTAGTGGTTGACCTGTCCCCCGTAACCCGTAAGCAACGCACCAGACGATTATACTGCAAGGTTTTCTGAATTTGTGGAGTCGCCGAGGTGGTTTATTCTGCAGGGTGAGTCGTAAATTTGACGTGTATCGTATACGTACTTATTTTTCTTGGGCGACAGTATGCTGCCGATTCCTTACCAGCACACGGATCACTCGTCAGCGAGAATGCAATTTTGGTGCTACGTGCACTGCCAGGTTGCGTGGTGGAATCTTCCACCACTACGTGCAATGCCGCTACCAGCACACGGATCACTCCTAGTTAAGGTTCATGGCGGTAGCGCATTGTGGCCACGTCCGTGGTTGATTACTGATTTGGCAACGTTGACATCACAGCCGCACTCTAGCTAGCTAGGTGAGGCCTGGGGCGGAGCTGCATCTGCATCTACCCTGTTGCACCATTGCTAGTTTAACCTGATGCACTCATGCACACGCTTGATCCAAGTGCTAAACTATCAGTAGAAACCAACTTGACCCTGTTGCCGGTGCAACAGGGTAGCTCCATGCAGCTCCGCCCCCGAGAGGCGCTGGTGCATGTCCCTGTCGATCAACGCCTGCAAATCGATCAGAGCCACGCGATTGTTCTGCATCAGCGCCACTGCCACGCAGCCGTTCGCTTGAAAAGTTTCGGGCTGAAGCTCATGGTGCTGTCCATCCAGTGCAACTAGTGTTCCTAATTAACTTGATTATAAGCTTTCGGCGGTCTCGTGTCGTGAGTCGTGAGTCGTGACCCCTGAAGCTAGCTTTGCGGAAGCTGGCGTGAGCAGAGGTCAAAATCGTGCTCCGTTTCTGGGGCGACCAGGTGATCTCCATCCCTAAAAAAGGGTTCTCATCTGCTCTCACCATGCATCCATGCTGCCTGCAAGTGGCGAATACGATCGCCGAGCATCACATTTGCCTTTTGCCGTTTTCCCTACTCCTATCACAAAAGGATTCCGGATCCCGACGTATGCATTGCGATTACGTGCTGCTTTGTGCTACGT